TCTTGCTCAGGGACACATTGGTAGATGGGTCAGTCATTTAGTTTTACTTTAAAAAGGTGTTTGGTCTGCAAGCTTACCTGAAAGGTCAATCAGTTCTATGGCTTAAATAGCTGCTTTTACCTTTAAAACATTTTCATTGTTACCTACATACATTACAGTCTACAGTCACATTTACACACATAACAGTAACAGTCCAGTTATTTTTTTTACAGTCCAACAATCAGTTGCTTTTGGTTTACATTGAACATTACCTATTTTGTGTACTGAAAGATATAACTCACGGTTTGCAGATGAGCCTCCTCTCTGCAGGCAGCAGTCAGACTGAGTGAATCCTCTGCCCTGGAAATGCTCTTTAACCTCAGTATGTGCAGCCTAAAGTTAATCATTGTTCTAACATACCAACCTCAAGCTAAGATAAAACCAGAGCTGAACATGTCCTTTATCTCTTCATGGATCCGACTAATTCCTGTTATTAAATGCTCCTCGATTCGACAGGCAGACAAGACAGACTTCCTCATTTTTGTGGTTTCATTTTCGCATGTGAATATTGAAACCATGCAGTCTGAAGTTCCACATGTTGTAGGGGTAAAAAACACTGTTGAGCGGTAATCTGCTGATGTAACTGCTTCCACTGCATGGATTTGCTCCTATTCAACAAAAAGAGTATTAGTGAGATCCAACACTTGAGCCTGACTGAGAAATCGGTGTGCAGATTTTATCGGTGGACAGCAGATAAATTGGTATCTATGTTTATAACAGCCGATAAATGACAATTAAAAGAGAAACGAAGAGACGGATTCTGTAATCATGTTATGAGTGTTGTGATTGCATAGTTTGTCCATCAGAAGGCACTCTGCAACTCCTCTATGGGTAACACACTAGGTGCAATCGAGATGACTGCGGCTGACTTTAACATACTTGACGGTCAAATGTGAGCAGCAGGCGACTGCAGGGTCAAGCCGGACACATTCTACCTACGTGAGCTAACTGTGAGCTTAGAACAACGACTGATCTCGCGTCGTTTGCTAAGACAAATGCCACAAGACCATGCAAAAGGTGGTTCCAACTTTTGTGCAGTCAGGAGAAAAACTACTGCGGCTGCCAGACTCAGTGATTGCAGTCGCCTCACTCCCACGAGGTCATGTGACATGGTGAAGTTTTGTAGCGCTGGCGAAATTCGCACACAATTTCAACCAGCGTGCATCACATTAAGTCAGTGCTCCAAAGGGCTGCATATAGTCGAACGCACCTACTGTTTAGAATACCACATATCCACCACAAAACACAGCAATTAGCTGACATGATCAGAATTGTTCAAAGTTTTTATGACATACAACAATTTATACCAATAAAAAAGTTTATTTTTAAACTGCATTATGTCATGTTATTTTGATGAGGTCTCATAACTACACGTAACAATTATTAGGGATAATGTTTGTTCATGTTATGTGTTTCTGAAAGAAGAAGAAGAATATCGTCTTAAAAATCCCATATCTGTCAGGCTCTATCCAACACTGATGTTGGGTGATAAGGTCTACTCACAGCCGGTGATCCAGTCCCTCCCAAAGTAGAAAAAACACTCCAAAGGTATTGGCTGAGGTTGAGGTTAGGGCTTTCTGCAGGCCAGTCAAGTTCTTCAAACTAGGCAAAAACTATTTCTTTACTGAGATGACTTTCTGCACAGGGGTCTTGTCATGTTGAAACAGGAAAGAGACAAACATTATGTGTTGACACAAAGTTGGAAGCACAGGGGTGTCCACATACAATAGGCCTTATAGTGTATTTGTCCTTGTGTCAAGTAAAATATTTTAAGTAAATGTGATTGCTCTTGTAGATGTAGATAAACTGTGTAACTTAAACTCACTGCAGCCACAAGCACTGGAGAAGAGTCATAAAGTCAACAAACTGACTCACTATTGTGCATCACAGAGCAGTAGACTATTGACTTAAGGTTAGCTGATCATAGGCGGAAATCCCGGGGGGGGCGGGGGGACATGTCCCCTCCTATCTGAGGGGTGTCCCCCACTTAAAAACCAATTAAATAATATAATGATATATACATAGAATAATTGTGTAAATAGTAAAACAATACCAACACAAACAGGGCAATTAAAGTGCGCTTTAAGTTTAGAAACATTTTGAGTCCCCCCTCTCTTGTCTCACAGTGGTTTAGTCCACTGCCTGCTCTCCTTCACAGCAGTCCGGTCAGCGAAAACCAGTTCTATTTTGCATAGGCTTCGCCCTCTAAGCTATAGGGTTTACCCCTTCCGCGCCTGCGCGGCACTGAGAATTTTAGTGTACGCCCAAACACAGCGTGTGCCTCTCCTACCTCCGCACCTTGTATATAAACAACGGTGAGACCCAGCCATTCGGCTCCCATTTTTCTTCAGCACTGAGCTGTCTAAAGAGCAGAAGATTTGTCTAAAGAGGAAAAGACTTTCCAGCCGGAAAACAAGAAGAACGATGTCTTCCAGCAAGCTGGCCAGAACGGGGCGAGAGCACGTAGTGGTCCGCACCGACTACAGGCTGCCTACATAAAGCGCCAAAGCGGGGTGCGCTCGGCGCAGCTGTTGGGTCTGACCAGACGGCTGCTCCTGTGGGCGCACACTCACCTGCTCTCCATCAGAGCAGAATACATCCCTGGCGTGCTGAACAGAGGGGCGGACATCATGTCGAGGGGGGGCCTGTCCGCTGCCGGCGGTGCTTTCATTCCTCCAGTTGCTCATGGACGGGTGGGCTGGCGTTCAGTAAAGTTAGAACCTACACTGCTGCCATTTCATCCTGTCAGGAGGGCTTTGGGGACAGGACTGTGTTCTCCCACCCCCTGGTGAAGCGTTTCCTTAGGGGGGTGCGGAAGCGCAGGCCGGTGACGCGGCCTGTTGCCCCGCAGTGGGATTTGAGGCTGTTTACGTGCCTTAACCCAAGCCCCGTTTGAGCCTTTGGAGACAGCAGACCTGAGATTCCTTTTGGCTAAGGTTGCCTTGCTCCTGGCTCTGACATCGGCCAAGAGGGTCAGCGATCTGGCTGCCCTCTCTGTGGCTCCGTCGTGTCTCAAGATTCAGGGCGACGCCAGCTCGGCTGTTCTGCGCCCTAACCCAGCGTTCATGCCTAAAAGCATTACGAACTCCTTTTGGTTGTGGGGCAGCACCCTCTCTGATTCTTTTCCTCCCTCCCATGGGTCGGTGGAGGACGCCACGTCCCAACTCCTTTGCCCAGTGCGAGCGCTGTCCTATTATGTGGCGCGCACGGCCGCATGGCACCGTTCGCAATGTCTGCTTACGTGGCCCTGCCTTGTGCGCATCTGATGCGGTTGCTGTCATGACCCCGTCTGTGTCTGTACAGCTACGGGGCCCCCCACCCAGTTTCCAGATTTACGCATGGGTCTGCCCTCGGCCTCCCATGCATTGGTGTCGGCGTGCCTTGCACCGAGCGGGCGACTGGGTGGCTCATTATGGCTCTGGGCAGGTGAGTTGTGCTTCTTGGTACAGTATAGGCCAGTGAGGCATTGACTCATCCTGCTTCGCTTCTTACCCAATAGCGATAGCCTTAAAGGGCGAAGCCTATACGAAATAGAACGGGGGTTACGTACTGTAACCCGGATTCTATGAGTATAGGCGCAGCCCTCTAAGTTGAAGGCCTCACTGGACCTTGGTTCTCAGTGCTGAAGAAAAGGCATTTGGGAGCCGATGGCTGGGTCTCACCATTGTATATATACAAGGTGCAGATGTAGAAGAGGCCCATGCTGTGGGTGGGCATAGACTAAAATTCTTAGTGCCACGCAGGCACATGGAAGGGGTAAACCCAATAGCGATAGCCTTAGAGGGCTGCAACTTCCATCTGTTTACGTGTATCTTATAAAATATACAATTTTGGCTGTATTATTTGTGTACCCTTCAAAAATTGCTCTTGAGAAATTTTATGTTTATTGTCCCCCCCTACTGTGAGATGAAATTTATGCCCATGTAGCTGATATTTCTTAACATTAGACACTAAAATAAGCTACTGGTAAAGCTGTAGAAGCAAACCTCCTGTGTGTATTGAATAAACATGGCTGTGTTTATTGCTTATGAATTCAACTTCTCATTATTAGTAAGAGGAAGTATTAGGCCTATTTCTTGCCTCAGAAGTTAAACTTGTACATTTATTCACCCAGAAATACACAACGTTTCTTTGTAAAGACTCTTTACTTTGACAGAATGAAATGTATGGTGCACAGTGGCAAGTTAAAGTTGCATGAGACAGTGACTTGTTGATTCTGGTGAGGACCTGCAGACTGACTTACGGCTGCGCCACGATTTCCTTCCTCTGCCCCGAAGCGTTTCAGCAGCGGCGCGTGTAGCCTACCCCACATTATTGACTTGTTGTTAATTTGTCATTGTGGTGCTCCCACTATCTTCTTCACAGCTCTATGTGACCCCTTTTTGTTACATGGTCAACTGCAGAGCAAATGAAGAGCATTTCAGAATCAGAGCATTTTGCCTGCATGATTTTGCTGACATGTTTAGATTTTGTTGATTTGGTAATCAATGCTTGCTTTTTGTGATTTTATTCTTATTAAGTAGGTTACGTAGTGAAATGGTTTCTTTTTGTGTCTGTTTTAACCATGCTCATTTTTGTTTTATGATCGGGAGTCTGCACAGGGTGTTTTATTTTGAAAACTGAGCAGATTCTCTAAACTGTTCTTTGTCTGACTTCCTGCCCAGTTCGATCTGCTCTTTGCTGCTTTCGTCAAAATATAGGGCCCAATCCCAATGTCCCCCCTAAGCCCTGAACCCTCACAGACTTTACTGACGTCACTTGGAAAGTGATTGAATGCATGAGGCTGCAAGGGCTCAAAATGCCGTAAACAGGAATGGGACAGCACTTTGCCACTTTATCACGTTATCTTGACGACGCTGACGACATTGCACACTTTTTATTTTATGTGTTTCCCTGATTTTTAAGTCCTGCAAGCTCTTGCCCTACAGAGTGGAGGAGAGGTAAATATCAATATATATTTGTCAATAATCAATACACTATTGTTGGTCAAAACAACATCATTAAGCAAAAACTAAAATAAATAGTTAGTAATAAGGTGATTGCATTCATCTGACTTCATGTGTTTACCGTTTTTATTTTTCTTCTCTTATAACGCAGATTTGCCATGATTTTTCTCTCGTCTCCGGGCTTCCCCTGGTAACCCCCGTGTTTCACGTCATACCGCTATTAACTGTGGGCAAAGGCGGACTTAAGGATCTAAAAAGGGCTCAAAATGTCGGCGAGAGAGCCCTCGCGCTGCGCACTTGACGATTTGACAGTGGGACAGCCCTAAGCCCTCACGGACTTCCAGGGAACGCGCCTCAAAGGGCCTTTCCGAAACTAGACCCTCACTTAAACTCTGGTCGAAGTCACCCTCCAGGTCAAATCGACCTCCCTAACCCGCGTAGGGTCAACTTTCGGACGAACTACCCTCTCTCCCCAGCATAAATAGAATCTGACGTTACCGCTGCTCTCACTGCTATAATAGCCTAAGTGTATCAAATAAACAACAGTGGTATTAAGATTCAGGATTGATGTTGAGGAAAAGTGTGGTTTTTGCAATAACGAAATTGAAAGCATTTGTCATTCATTTTGTGGTTGTGTTCGTGTCGAATATTTCTTTAAGAACATGACTTTATATATTTACGAAAAATAAATATTATATTCTTTTATGAAAAGATTGATATTCATTGTAAAGAAAGGCCTATATATTTGAACATCTTTAGCCTATATGAAAAATGTTACATTCACAAATACAACATTTCAGTATAAATCATATGTGCTACGTTGTTAACCTGTGAATGGTGACGTGACAATGTTAGTGTAGTTTCGAAATAAAAAAATTCTACATGTTAACCGGCGAAGTCACACGGAACGCAAAATGAAAGAAAGGTCCCCCATCGTGCAGCAAAGGGTGTTACACACCTTCAACAAGCCAGCATCGGTGCTGACTCGGCATTTGAGTTTAACAACCCACTACCACTCCGCCCTCATTGGTTTCAGATGGCACTCAATGTGGCGGACCCTCCGCATGAAAGTATGTAGGGAGAGGGAGTAGCAAGCAGTTTCGGAAAGGCCCAAATTCTGTGAGTCTGTGAGGGTAGACATTGGGATTGGGCATAGGAGTGCGGAGCCTTTTTTTTCTCACTATACTTTTCATCACATCTCCACTAGATGGCAGCAAAGTATTGGCGATCGTGGAGGTGAGGAAAAAAATGTACAGCTAATATAAATCTATACACTACAGCCAAGCAAAAAAGTATAGGCCCATTCAGGGTTTATGCCAAATATAATACAAGTAAAATATTTAGTGGAATAAAACCTTTTCTTAGTTATGAGACAAAATTCCATTATTGCCTGAACATTTGCAGAAATATTAGTGTGCATGTAGGCCTACTATGTTTTTTTGTTTTTTTAACATTAATATGTGGAATTAAATTGTGGAATTGTCTTAGGAGTTATTTAACCCTTTCATGCATGGTGTCCACATTTGTGGACAGGACTGCATTTTGGGGTACTATATCATGGTTATGTTCTCCAAGTCATTTGAGGACAGTGTCAGTTGATTGATTACAACATTGTAACAGTGGTTACTCTTGTTTTCCAAATATTTATTGCTGGATGACCACATCAATCCAAAATGGCCGACTGTGATGGCCATGTGCTAAATGCATCAGGGATATCTGTGAAAAAGTTTCATTCAAGGTCAGTCAAGATAAAAAAAAAAAATTGTTTGTTTGTACAGTAAAGTATTATTAACAGGTTTATGTTTTATAAATTAAAATTTAGAGTAAAATGTAGTTTTTATACACCAAAAACCAACTGTCCTCGTATGTGGACATCATGCAACAGTGGAATCAGATTGCATTAAGTTTGATTTCTGTAACAAGCTTGTTTATCTATTTATATTTTTCAAAGATGTGATAAATTGTATTATATTATAGTAAAACAGACATTTAATAAATATATGAACACTAATAATAATGCCAATGTGCATATTACAGCAATACAAGAATAGCAACTTTTGACTGCTTTGCAGCCTTTACACAAAATAAGTAAGTATTATCTGTTGTAAAATGTTGGATGTTAAACATGTTAAAACAGAGATGATTCAACATGAAGTTAGATGAGGATAACAATATACTACTGGGTTTCCGCATAAATATAACTAAAGTTATCAATACAACTGTGAGTGTTTTTCCCCTATTTGTTCCTAAAATATGTTTTTTATTGTTAATTTTCAACTATTGACCTTAAATACATAGCATAACATGACATAAAAATTTTGGTTAAACATTATCCAATAAAAAAAGTATAAAGATCAAATAACTTGACAATACTTACTTATAGAGCCTTTCGCCCGATGTCAGCTGGGATTGACTGAGTGTGATTTTGAACTATTTATTTGAAGAAACAGGCAGGTAACGGGTTTATGAGATTAGATTTGTGAATTTTAGAATTAGAAATGACCAGTCTGAATCTAAACCTCATGAGAAAACCATGTGTAAGATTATAATGACTTAAGATGAAGTTTTATTGTACTCTATGTCCTGTGTTTTCACTAATAATCAACATGTCCGGGGATCAAGTATGGGTTATTATTGCTCTTGCTAAATATACGGCATGTTTTTGAGGCAATATTAACAAACCATCTCCCTAAACTCTGTAGGATTGTTGGTTTTACAAAGGACTTTCTGATGAATGTCAGATGTAAGTTTCAGTCTCTGGCTAAAATGTAGGTTTCCACAACCAAAGTGACTAGTGTTTTTCATCTTCTTCCTCACCTTCTTTTCTTCATCTTCTGCCTCATTATTCATTTCCTCCTGACAGCTCACTAAGCTGTCTGCATTCATTTCATCATGTTAGCTGTAGCGCTGACTCCTGCTGAAGGTGATATTTTCCATCCACAGAGCATCAAACTGTGCTAGAACCTAAAATAACACACGCATAGTCTGCATTAAATACACAATACTGGTTTTTGTGATGTTTTGAAAACAGATTAAGATTATAGATTCACTCGTTCATATATTAAAAATGACTGGAAGGACTTCTTTAGTGGGGAGAGACAATCAAGCCATGTACAGTGTTGATGAGTGGTGTTTCTAATTACCCATATTGGAGTAAAACAGACTTTATTTTCCTCACAGCAGCCTGACATCGCATCAGGGACACCTCACTGTTGGGAGTTGTCTCATAATCAAACTTGACAGAGTGAGAAAAGTAAAAGGTTTACAGTTCATACTGTACTCTGGCCTACAGTGCGGCGATGTAACCGTCCCTCTGTGAGGCCAAGCAGCCTGTGTTCTGACTTAAACTGAGGCCAGAACCTTCTGTCAACATCATACAACATCTCTGGAAAACCTCCTGCATTCACACGACTGAATTGTTTTCACTGCATTTTGGGGAGTTTTAAAGAGGACCAGAGAAGTTGCCTTGTCGTACTCCTTCAATATAAATTCATGAACCCTAACATTAGTTACATAAAGGCTTGAGGAATTCCCTACAAACATTAATCATTTTTCATTTTCAGTTGTCGCAATCACAAAGTTAACGACTTTCCAAAAATTTGTTTCATGAGTTTTACCAAAGAATTTTTGAAGAAATGTGTATTGCCAAATTTTAAGAAATAAGGGGGTAATTTGAGAGGGAAATCAAGTTCCTCCTTTAAAAAAATCACAAATCTGAATGTACTAAACCTCAACTTGATCTTTAATCATATGTACTGCATTGTTAAGCTTTATGTAGCTGCTCCTGAACAGTGTGTCCATATGTGGCTTCAAACTAACCATGTTGCTGATAAATCGATTTGTAAAGCCTCACGTGTTGTGCAGAACACAACAGTTTACCTCATACATGACCTTCAAGGAACCTTGATAAGAAGTGCCCTCTAGGCCCTAAGGTGACTGACCTTTAACCCAGACAGAAATTCTGTCTGTTTTCCACAAGAGCTGGAAGCAATAAAGCCAAATTAGCTTGCTGTAACTTCTCTAACACAAGTTGACATAATGAAAACAACCAGTAAATATCTTTTTACTGCACTCCCAAAAATAATGTGTCATATTTAAAGACACGAGGACAGCACATGTTTGCATTTTCCAACATAACGTGTCAAGAAAATATTTCTAGATTGCATGTGTGGTCAACAACGAGCCATGTTTGGAAGAAACCCAAGTTGGTATTTTGGAAAGCTAAGCATGCAGACGTGTTAAAAATGACTCATGGTTTTTAAGAGTGCAGAAACAATATGGTTGCAAGATGTTTGTGGCCAATGTAGCCGCTGACATGCCTCTTGTATGTCCTTCCCTTGTTTTTCTCACAGTAAATGAGGATGTGTGACATCTGGAAGCGCTCAGAAGGCAGGACTGAAACCTCCCCCCTTGTCGTTTTGCAGGGCACAAACATCAAAGGAGGCGGCAGATAATGTTGTGTCTCCCGCAAAGACACTTCAGCGAGGAGCCACCACCGCTGCAGTCTCAAACCCGGGAGGTTTTCAGGAGGTTCTCGGGAGACTAATGTGGATGATGTGGCGTTTCTGAACACAAGTAGGACAGGTGTGAAAAGGCTAAGAGTCACAGGACAAATTGAGGCTTTAGTGCAGAACAGCAGGGAGGAAAAGAGGGAACTTCTGATTTAGTTATGTATCAACTGCTTTATGTATGAAGTTTATCTTGCCACTAAGTAGGGTTTGCCAATATGGCAACACATATTAGGAGATGACAGAATTCTCCACTGGGGCAAATGTTGCAAGAATTCATGCAATAAAGTACCTTGATTTGTAAGGTATTTAAATCACTTCATCTGCCAAAACCTGATAATCCCATCTGGTTATTTTATCTCTAATTGAATTCCCTGGAAAAAATATATATATATTATTGTAATATAAAATGGCATATATGCGAGTGATTGGTGCAGGTGTTATTGAGGAGGTACTGAGAACATCTTCACCTTCTAAATAACTGTGAGGTGGCAACAAGTAATTAAATGTTTTCCCCTGGAAACTGTTCAGCAGAGGTAGTTATCATACCTTAGCTCATCTAATGGTCAATTTAAGCAGTGGAGGACAGCCTAAACAAAAGCTGCGCTCGATAAATATGTGGTATTTAGCATGTGATTTAAAGGTTCGGTGTGTAACATTTAGTGGCATCTAGTGGTGAGGGTTGTGAATTGCAACCATCTGTCCAGTCTACCACTACCACCTAACCTTTCAAAGAGCTAAGACTACAGCAGCTGACACAGCACAAAAGGTGTCTCTTCTGAGACAGCAGAGAGTGTGCAGTCAAGAAATGAGGTTTCTTTTGGTATATAAGAAATTATATTTAGTTATTAGTTAGTTATTCATTAAAACCATATGTTATTGTGACTTGGCCACTGACAGATAACATGGAAAATGTAAGCTAAGAGTGTTTACTGTAATACTTTATTTGGCCTGTTACAGAATGTAGTTTTTAGTGAGAGTGGGGATGTCACAACCGTGCCGCACCAACGCCAGCGACAGGCAGGCAAGAACCCCAGTAGCCAATAGCGGTGGGAGTGAAAAAAAAAGTTGACTCCCAGACGGATCGCAACGCAAACACAGAAGACCCCAACCCGACCAACAAACAGCAAAGACACCAGCACCAGCGATACAAATGTCAGTCGACAACGTAATGCCGTCGGAAAGCAAAAGGCGGAACCCGCAGAAGAGCAGCACCCGGACCGACCGCGGTGCGCACACAACAGAGACCAGCCCCCCCCCCCCACGCGCCCGGCACCCCACTGCCGCAAAACAAACAACCAAAACACCACGCAATCATCAACATCAACCCGCAAGTGACGCCAACAACCCGCACACTGTGCGAGCACAGTGACACCCAACACCCGGCAGTCCCCTGCGTATTCTGCGCGCAAGGCCGAGCAAATGAGAGAAAGCAAGCGGCAGAACACAACGGCAAAAGCCAGCGGAGAAAAACACTATCAGCAAGTCCCAGCCCGCCATTAATGCACCACCCAGGCCATGGTGCACATGCCAATAAAAGTCCACTGCCCCCCCAACCGCCGGAGACATGGGGGCCGCCAGTGCCAGCCCAGCATCCCGGCCGCCTCCGGCCATGCAACGCCAGCCAAACAAGCAACGAGGACCCTGCCTAGGGACAGAGGGGGCCCCCACGGCCCATACCAGCAGCCCCACTCACACCCAGGCCAGGCCAGAGGCCTACCAGCCCCAACCCCCCACGCCCCTCCTCCACCCAGAAGTGAAGCATCCCCCACACACACCCCCACCATGACCAAAGAAAAGAGACAGCAGTAACAACCCTCAGCCCCAGGACGCCACCAGATGCACCGAGCCCCTAGTACCCACCTAGGGGTGGGAATCTCCCGGCCCCCCCATGACCCGACCACAAACTAAACCATCGACGCACCCCAACGCACAATCCTCCCCCACACAGGATCTCCAGACGATCACCAAGCATCCAATCAGAGCACCAAAATCCAAAAGAAACACCCCCCAACCAGCTCAAAAGGACCGTAGAAACATGACGACGCAACATGGCAACATCCACGGAAGGGGGGACCCACTGTTATGGAGATATAAATGGCTCATTTTTAAAAATTCCTCCCTTCTTTTAAAAGGTTGAAATGTTTTAGAGCTAAGACAGCCAAGATAGTTCTTCAGTATTTGTTCTAGTTCTTTTGGTTGTATCACACAATCTTCCTCGGCAGCTCGAGTTGGCCTAGTTGTCATGGAATTGTAGATGCTAAAATGTTGTAAACTTATCGAAACTTACCCAAATACGTTCAATCCAGCAAAATGTTGTTCATTTTGTTTTTTAAAGTGAAAGCCTTCCAATTTATTGAAAGATGAAATTGTAACCATCATTACTTGATGTCCTGTTACCCTGTACATAGGATAAGCGGTTGACGATGGATGGATGGATTACTTGATGTATTTTCTCATGAAACAGGTCACTGAGAGGTCAACCTGAAGTGTAAACCAAGCAGCTTTGAGTAATGGAGAGACAGGCAGTTGGATTGGCTAGATCAGCTAAAAAAGGCGGGATCAGTGAAACATTTGTGATGACTTAATTGGTTGGACTTCAGTTACGTCCAATGCCCATTTCATGGAATCTTTAGGAGTTAATCAAAGGGATTCTTGGATGAAACAATAAATTTACCTGAGCTTGTGTTAAAGCCAAATAAACTAAATGAGATCACAGGATAAATCTAGACTGAAAATCTTGAATCAAGTTTTTAATTTGTTGTTTAATTGCTTGCAATGGAGCACTTTGGGCAAGATATAGAAGGAAATTGGGATTAAAAGTGACAACATGTGAGTAATCGTTGCTTTCCATATTGTTTTTGCTGCCATTTCATGGAAGTGGAGGTAAAGTGAAGCTTTCTAACTAGAGAATTTACAGTTTCCAAATGAAACCTTAAGGCGTCAGGATGCTTCAAAATTGAAGTGCTTGTCGGATGGTCGAACAGCATCTGAAATAATCTCCCAAAAGGAACCGGTAAACTGCAAAACCATGGTTTGACACAGCCCCCCAAATTCCGATGTCGTTAAGGTGTCGGGCAGGGAAGTTTCAGTCGCTACTCAATGATCCAAAAAGCACTTCATTTGAAGCATACTGACACCTTAACTTTCCAAAACCGACAAGTATGCCCACTTTACACACTGCCTAGTCAGGTTGCCGGACGTTAGAAAAAAGGCAGCTCTCATTTTTTAATCAGCATACTATTTCTGACTATTTCTGTCACTTTTCATGTGTACAACAAAATAGACAACACTCCTCAAAACAAATTAGCTTGAAGCATACTGAAACCTTTTCTGTATTTCTAGGGCATTTTTAGGCCTTTATTTTTTTTCCAAGTCTGAAAACTGAAGGTCTGAGACTTTCTCACAGTATTGAAGTGAAGTCTGAATGAAAAGGCAAGCGGAGAACACCTGCTGCTCCTCTTGGGTCTTTTATTTAGTGGAAAGGTATGTCTTTTTGTCTCTAGCCTCTAGCACCTGATGTTTACTCTATACTCAGGAGGCCGACATTCTCTGTTTCAGCTCTGCAGGTTCTCACATCCCCCTGTAGTGAAATCAGCTCAGTCACGAAGTGGTTTCATTCACATGAAGAGACAATTAACTGATTAGGCTGTTTTAGTGTTTAGGTGAGCTTTCCTGAGTTTTGGAAATGGAAAATGTGTCATTTGCTGTAACAAGAAAAGCTATTTTTAGGAATTTTAGCTCAGTGAATATGAGATTAAGTATAAAGTACCATCTTCTTTGTTTTATTATTTGGTTGAAGAATGGGTCAGGGTCAAAGTCTATGTACTGTTTTGCTGTTTGTGCTGTGCATGTATTTCTCATGTAAACTATATTATGTGTATTTTGAAAATCATGAAAAATAAAAAAGCATTAGGTTGCTTGAATACAATGTGTTTAGAAATAAAGGTTAAGGTTCATTTAATAATTACTATTGTAAAACTATGGCAGTAAGATAGGTACACAATAGAAATGATAAACATTACATAAATAAAGTAAAAACAGAGGTTTAGAGAAACATGGCTTTAAAATTTAACCCAAAACCAAACACTTGTAGCAGCTTTTTTCTTTGAATAAAGACTTTCAAACACATGTCCTGCGCAGTTAATAATTCATTTCAGGTGCATCATCTTATCCTCATGTTTGTCTAACATAAAGCCTGACTGGATACTCACATTCTCTATAGCTGCTGACATGCTGTATATACAAGTAAGGCACTGAGTACATACAGCTTCAGAAGTCTGCCTGTCTATGCAATGCACTTATATGTAAAGTCTGCTGCACAAATGTCCTAACTGTCAGAATAAGTCTGGAGTTTGATCTAATAAAGTGTGATTTTTTTTTAAACACTATGTTTATTTCTCCACTTGGTACATGACATGGTGATTAAAGTGATTTAGTAATTAGCAGGATTAATTAGGTTAATTAATTAAATTGCAGGATAATGCATAAAATACTTTAACATGAGTCAGTAATTTGGTTTAAAATAGAGAGGATTTTGGATTGCTGTGGAAACATGAGATGTTAACATGTGGCAGCAGCAGTCTAGCATGTTCTACTGTGGACTTTTATCTGACGTTATAGCCTACTTATTTTTTTTACTTTTTTCTCTTTTACGCAGGATTTTGTGTCTTATGTTTTCCAGCAGTAAGTCCACACAGTTCTTGAAGTTCAGAAGCGCACAAAGTGTACTGTCATAAACCGAGATGAATCTGACATGCTGCTGAGATGACTTCCGCTTTGATTGGGCCGGTTTGGATGGATCATTTATTGATTTGTATCATCGTCATATTGATAGAGAGACGTTTGAATCGGAGATCATAGAGGACCCACCTATAGGAAGAGACTCCTCGGTGGTTTATTGCCTCCTCCCTCCTTTCCGTTTGTCATCTTGCGCCCTTCGCACAGGGAAGCCGCAGTCTCAAGCGAGCAGAGCGCACGTTTATGCCCCATCTCCCTCATTTTAAACGGAAGCGCGGGGTAGGTACAGTTTGCGCCACTTTTGCACCGCTTATCCAAACTTTCAATGGGACCTGACGACTGAAGCCAGCCTGCTGCATCTCTAACCCGGAGCCGCAGCCATGGACTGTTGCGCGTTTGATTCGGTGCGCCTGTTGTTCCCTGGATATTTACGCATCGCATTGCTGTGGGTCATGCAATTGGGGGCGTTCGCGCAAAATGGTAGGTGGATGGAAAACGTTTTTCATTTATGGCTCAGGTTGTGGCTTTTTGAAGACAAAAGATAACGCTGAATCCTTTGAATACCACGAGTTATGATTTCCAAATGGTCTCCATTTTACCCATGAGACACAAAACTACGTTTCATCTTCATGATCAGGGGCATTTAAAATGGAATGATATGTCTCAGATATTCCGTTTCTTATCTTGTTAGCCCACATCTTTAAATAAAAAGCAGATAAAACAACTGCCTGTAAAAAGCAGCATTCTGCAGAGCTGCGTGACTTGGCCTGTGAGGCTGCATTCCTATCACTCTGCAAGTCCAGAGGTTAGATGGACCTTCAGAGACAGAGATCACAGACAAGAGAAAACCAATAGGCACATACAGAAGACCAAGATCAAATAAAGACAACAGTATATTTGCTAGATGATACTCAATAGTGGATATTTGTCAGGTTATAGTGTTCCTCACAGAGAAATATTCATGTGTCTACTTTTGATTTAGGTTCCAAGCTTTTAAGATGATTTGCTTATTATCACCTTAACAAACAATAAAGTTACTTATAGAGGAAATAGTGTCCCTGGTGTGTGAAATAATACTTACCACCTTGCACTCAATTACAGTCAGGAATTACTTATCATAAAAAAGTTAACAAATGCTGTAAAAACAACATGAACAGAAATCAAAGTAAGAGACATATAAACAGAATGAGAGCAGTCCTAGTAAACACGCAGCTCTAATTCAAACAAGATTACAAAAAGTTGTGTTGACTCATTACACACCATGATACACTTGTTGCTCAATATATTCCATTGAACTGCCTCATATGGCTTACTCATGTTTTTCAGTGTTGTTTAGTCAGACTTCTCCCATCATGCAATTTTCTTTCTGCCATGACATGTGTGGTCAAAAGTTGAAAAGAGGGTTGTAAAAGATGCACAAAACAGCAAGGGCAGTTGTCAAAAATGTAATGCAGGATTGCAGTTTGAATGAGCTGGAGTTCACATGGAGGACAATTAGACACATATGGACAGAATGGCAAACAGGATTAATTGATGTCTTACTTATATTCAGATTAGAAAAGCAGTGTTTTATTACTGTCCATCCAATTACATTCAACAATAATTCTAATATCTGAACTTGAAATTCTGCAGTGTGAACTTAATGTGGGACTAGTCCTTTTAGTCAAATGAAAGTTTTATCTTACTTTGACAAAAAGCTGTTGTCTTAGTCAGTCCAATTTGCCACTGTGTCTGCCACCATGTCTTCCATCTCGCTCACATCGTTGTCCCCAGGATGCCCAACAACAGATCAAAGCACACAGTTGTAAACTTTAAGGCAGGCCCTCATAAAATGAAACGCTGTTAGTCCTCTCAGAGCTTTGCAAGGAGAATAGCATTTTTGTGCCAACGCAAAGTCTACCAGAACTCCTGTAACTTGAGGAGACATATAAATGACAAATACAAATCACACGGTATTGTTTTAACTTGCTGAAAGGGATGTGTTTAAACAGCAGCCGTTCTTCTAAACTCTGCCCCAGGTGCTTAAAAGCCCTCTAAAGTAGTTAAAATAATTGACAGGACAGTTTGAATTTTAAATTTGACGTATACCAAAGTTGGTATACATCAAATGGGTATCCATCCATAATAACTGACTCATTTGACCCAAAACCACAAATGTCAACATCAGGGTGGAACTACAGGAAAAGTCAAAGAATCAGAGTCAGTAGGCTTCATCATCTGGGGACGATGAATGTCTGTACAAAATTTCATGGCAAGACATCCTGTTTACATATTTTAGTTTGGAGGGTAGCAGTAGAGGAAAGGCCATGGAGTGTCTAAAATGGAAAGTTTTAAATTCTTGGGAGCACGAATGTCCTTAGTAAACTTAAAGGCAGCCTGCTAATAATATTTTGTTGGTTCAAGTGAAAATAACGGTGGCATTAGAGTTAAGGTTAAGTGGGTTATTTTCTGGGAAATATAAATATCTTTCATGGGAATGCTTGTTGTTACTTCTGATGCCGGTTGACCAATTTGGCCGTTGCCTGCTTCACACCTGTGCTGATCTACATATGTGAAGCCCTTTAACTTAATTGATTCATCCTTTCATTTTAATTTTCTCTTTTCGTTTTTGTCTTTTTTTAAAATGTACTGTACCAGCGGTA